TGGCGCTCGGCGCCCAGCCTACTTCCTACACAGCTACTGTTCTGCCTACTAGTTGACAATGCAACTGTTGACGTCACCGGCCAATGAAGTGCTTGAAGATGTCGCTCCATGCAGACCATCGCCAATACCAGGTATGTGCCCTCACATCCTCCTCCTCCTCCTCCTCCTCCTCTCTCTGCCCTGACTTACTCCCACGTCTTCCCTCTATACACCCGAAGAACACCCCTGCGCCTCACTGTAGTCCAAGCCCATCCAGCTATGGAGGCTGGGCTATGGCGCTGCCCTCAGCAGCGCCCTGCTTCTTGCACGACCGCATGCGCTTTGCTCCTTGCCCTTAGCGCCAGCAGCAGCCCACGAGCGTCCGCTCCAGCAGCGCTGCCGCTAGCATGCAAGTGCCTGAATGAGCACAGGCAGCGAGCTCTTTCCTATATGGAAAGAGCCTGCCTCCCTCGGCGGCCTGGCTGGCCTGGGCCTCTGCCCAGAAGCTTCCGGTAGGCCCCAGGAGGCTGGGCCTCTGTTGCAGCTACTGGGCCTCGTTCAGTTGGGCCTCCCAACTGTCGGAGTATGAGGCTGCGATTCTTGCCCAGGGCCTGCATTTCAGGAAAGGCCTGGAAGGCCGTGGAATGTCTTTGCTGCTCGGCCTGTGTTTCCCTCAACCAACTGGCGCGTCACAACTTCCTGGACCCCGAATACGAAATTGACAGCAGAGGGCCTCTTGAGATTTGTTAGGCCCACCTTCACTTAGGGCGGGCACTTCTGTAACAGAGTCCCTTAGGCCTGCCGAGGACCCAGTTCCTCGCAAAAGCTTTACAAATTACAAATGAAAAAAAGGTGTGGAAAAACGGGGAAAAAAAAACAACAATTTCTTTGCTCTTTGTTGGGGAAACATCAAACTTGGCTGATCTTGACATTGGTCGAATGAATGGTGACAAACTAAGTCGCATTCAAAGCACAGTTGAAAACCAGAGAATGTGGTGAAAGTTCCGTGCAACAGGAAAGGAAAGAAAAGAGCTTTGGGGGAAACTGGTTCAACTGTCAAAGATGTTGAACAACAAGTTTCTTCATGCCAGGTCAAATTTCTATTTACCCACTACTTTAAGCACACTCGGGATCGAATGGGAACTGGGATCGCCTTCTATGCTAGTATTAAGTCAGACAACGACTCGAAATAGGCGAGAACAGGGTGTTTTGAGAGATCTTTAGAGGCATTGGTAAAGAGAGCATAGAGGCAGTCCAAGCGGGCGGCAGGCAGAGCATGGATGGGCGCAGAATATATGGGCACTTCGTGGACAAAGTTCTCTCCTCGATGGCCTGGCATGGCCGTGGAGCTCAAGTGACATGGCAAATGAACAATTCATGTGGTACTGCAGATGATATGGCATATGAAAATTCCTCCTCGACAGCCTGATGATCGTCAGGGTCTTGGACAGCTGCTCTTCACAAGTTATGATCGCACGTCAGCAGTGGAGAACTGTGGCTATCAGATGGATGGGAGGGAAGTAGGGAAAACAGCTTAGATAAAAGTGCTGCTCCAATACCAGTGTAACAGGATTGGTGCAGAGAGGTTGTGCAGGGAAAGGAGAGGCTTGACTCTCATACACAAACTCAATACAGCAGGATCAAAGAATCTGATGGTAAGAGGCAGCGGCAAGGAGGAGAGGGAGGCTGACCCTGACTAGACTCAGCATTTGAAGAGTCCAATCAGCACCGTGGTCACATGTTGAAAACAAGCATAGAATGAATGGAAATAGTACTGTGACCGCCCACATAAGCACTGTAACCGGTTGAGGGTGGGTCTGAGCATTCCCAAACTGAACTGGTGGTGCCAAAGAGTTAAAAAATTGAAAAGGGGCTCTGATGCCGAAATGGCCAAGGGGCAAAAATACCAGGGCACAGGGGATGTCGAAGATAAGGCTTGCAACCTGGGAAATTTCTTGGCGAGAGGATGGTTCTTTGAGCACTGGCGCCTGAAAAATGCATTGGTAATTTGGTGCCCAAGACGTACAGGGTTTCAACACTGGCACATTACAACACATGATAAACAGATCATCAGTTCAAGTCCTGGCCGATGAAAAACAATGTTAGGGGTTCCCCCCCCTGCCAAAAAAAAGCTAGTGCTCTGACTTTAGTTGCTTTTTCTCCTTGTTTTCTTTCCCACTGTACCCCTGATTGTGGCATGGTTGCCATCCTCGCTTCGTTCATTTAGCATACTGCACATCACAATGTGATTATGTCCTTCTGGATCCTTCCCTCAAGTTTTTCTGGATAAACTCAGGTTCAGATTCTGTTTACTCTTTTGGATCTTCCCCCCCCCTCTAGTTTTTCTGCTTACACCACCACTGCCTTTCTCAGTGTTGGGAAAAACGAGAATATACGTCACACCACATTTTTCGGGGGTATGGGGGAGGCTCGGCCAAAACAAAATGTTTGGGCCCTACAGGCCCGCCAGTAATAGAAAAATAAAATAAAATGGACGAGTATGTCGGGTAGGCTGTGAAAGATGTAGTACTCACCTCAATATTTTGAATAACATATCTGCCCGCTATTTGAGCTAGTTTCAGCTTTGTCTTGCTCGTTTTCTTTTTTTCTTGTTTTGTTTTGTTTTGCTGCCCTGCCAGCGAGGCAGGGCGCCATCCATGGGCTGCTGACACTAAGTCAGGAAGGGGACACTCATAGTTGTGCTGATGATGATGTATAGAGCCGCTTTCCTGGGTAGGGCGGGTAGTTTCTTTTTTTTTTTTTTTTTTTGGTTCGATTTTTCNTTTGTTCTTTCAGAATAAGAATGGAATTAAAGAACCTCAGATCCAGAGGAGGAGAGGAGAGGAGACGGGAGGAAGAGAGGGGAGGGGGGAGGGGAGAGGAGAGGAGAGGAAAGGAGAGAAGATAAACACTTGCAAATTCAGACAAAACGTGCGAGGTTTTACTATCGCAGCATACACGTAATGTCCATGGCGTGCGACCAAGTCGCGATTACCCTTCTACCTCACCGCTCAGGTAATCTTTTCAGGCACTATCCACAGTATATATACCTTTTTGGTCCCCGTACTTCACCCCCACTCCCTGTCCTTACAGCGTACTCATCATCGCTCCTCTGGATCTCCCCTATTCCAACCCTTGTCGTCCTTGTCGCCGTCAATTTCCGTATGCTTCAACAAGGAGACATTCCCTTCATATCTAATGATTGTCGCGTGTCCTTGACCGTACTCTCGTCTCGTACCAGTCCTGTCTCACCCTAGTCTATGTTTATAATCTCACAGTCCGTGTACTGACTCGTACTTTTTTCTTTGTTTGTTCTTGTGTCTTGGTTCATACATTCCGGCCGTGGATTCTTTCTTATCCAGGTGAGTTCGTTTCTTCTTCCTTGCGATCGGTTTGTTTCCCATTCTCTTGGTTTTCTATCTGATTCGCATGAGTGAGAATTGTAGGCGACATTCTTACGTCATTATATCTGCAGATTGCTTTTTTGCTTTTTAGTGGAGTGGAGAGGAGAGGAGAGGAGAGAAGACATCAAGTCTCGTCTCGCGTCATCTCATCTCATCTCCTCTCATCTCCTCTCCTCTCCTCTCCTCTCCCCTCCCCTCTCGCCTCTCTTCCTCCCGTCTCCTCTCCTCTCCTCTCATCTCATGCCATCTCATCTCACTCCTCTCATCTTATCTCAATTCTAACTCGTCTCATCTTGTCCTGAATCATCTCATTTCCTTCAGCACAACTCCAATGGGTTTATAACTTTATGCGTATAATGATAAGCTTTTCCCCAAAAGAGAAACTTGTAAGACATACCCAAGAGCCTAGCTCAGTGGGTACACTCATGAACTGTTGAAAATACAGACCCGTGTTTGAATCCAGATGATGGAACTTGACGAGTAAAGTTGTAAAAACCAACTATTTCTGACTTGCCTGGGGCCGGTCAGCTTAATGATGATATCTCTTTTTTTTTTCTTTTTTTTTTTCCATAATACCCAGCCCCTTCTATTCTGGGGGGCATCAGTCCGGTTGCTCATCACCGGCAAGCCTGGAAAAACAAAATACAGTTTGACTGAAAAGAGAAGAGGAAAGCCTTACCCTTGCGGCCCTAGACGCCTCTCAAGGGGGAGATTGCTACAACCAAAGCCCACTTCCCATACCATAGCCATCCCAGGGACACCTCTGTTGGTCGGGAAGCTTCCTAACAGCACCCAGTCACACAACAGACGGGTCCCCAGGGGAGGCCTGGGTCGGGGGGGCTGTTCTAGCAATCTCACGAGCCTCTCATCATGTTAAACCCTTCCTCAGTTTCCCTATTAAGAGCCTCTGGGCACCATCTAATATTTACATCCTCATACCACCCTCAAATCTCCACTACGCAGTCCTTTATACAACCTGCCCCAAGTATCTCTGATATTCTCAAGCATCGTCTACGTCTAAACCCTATCAACTTTATTCTTTTTTTTTTTTTTTTTTTTTCTCTCTTTCACCTGACAGCACCGTTGTAACGCCCTCACTGAGGGCACACACACACAAAGCACGTTGCGGATTGAATGTACTTGCTATGAGCTCCAAATACGTTTTTCTTTTTGTTTCTTTTTTTATTTATTTGATGGATTACACCCCGGGACTGTAACACCCGCTTTTTTTTCTTGTATGCTACATTCTTCTCTCAACGCGGAGTTGTTTTTTTCTTTTTTTTCGCGTGAGTACCACAAAAAGAGCACAGCGGGACCCAGGCTCGGCAAACTTGGCGTGCATTGAAAATCAGGGTCGGTAAAAACAGGCTTGGAGGTAGTTGGTAAAAACAGGCTCGGAGGTAGTGGTGGTTTAAACATACCCTGAGATTCCAGTCTGTTCCATCTTCCAACAGTCATCTCGCTGTTTATTCTTCCCCGTGATGTTGTTCCCCCTTGCAGTGAGATGAGAGCACTGCTTTTCTATGCCCCCTTGCAGTGAGATGAGAGCACTGCTTTCCTATGCCCGATTTGCGGACGGCTTGTTGGTTGATATTTTTCTTTCGTCTCTTGGAACAGATTGCGAGGAAAGGAGAAAGAAGAGATTTGATTTGGATTTGTTGGCATCCTTCATGTATGGTCATGGATGGAGTTCATGGAATAGGATTGCGGCTTAACCTTTCTTCAGAGCTGTCATGATTTTGACGTGAAGGGTTCAAGTCACCGGCATTGATCACATAGCAGGGCAAGGAGAGCTGCAACATGGAGTGTGCACATGCAGGCTTAGCTTGGAGGGATTCACCGCTTAGCATGTTCTGCTATGTGTATAAGAGTAGGGAAATCTTCTTCCTAGATGGATTGAGAGTTCAGAAAAGAACAGGATTGCGATGTAGTATTCTCTGGTGACCAGTACTCTTTCTTTTGCGTGAAAGAAATAGGATTGCGCCTTATATCAGTTTTGGAACTATTTGCATTTTCGAGGTGAAGGATCAGGAGGTCGGGGAGTCAGGGTCATTGTTTGTCACATAATCAGGAGCTCCCTTTCACCCGTTGTGCTTGTGCAGCAAAGAAATAGGATTATTGGCCTTCTGCAGCTCAAGTTGTGTCTGGAAGGAAATAGGATTGTTGACCTTTTGGGGCTAAGTTTCCTTAAATCATTTTTCGGAAAGTCCTCGAGGTTATTGTCAGAGAGTCAGGGGCATTACTAATTACCGTTACACTTTTGTGGCAAAGAAAAGGGATTTTAGTGAAATTGTAGGCCTTTTGCGGCTGTTTGCAACTGTGATGTCTTCTTCTTGATGTGAAGGGTTAGGGTTAGGGAATGAGGGGCATTAATCGCATAATAATGAAGAACACTGAGCGAATGTGTGTAGTGTAAACCAGCACATAGATGGAGAAGAGAGCATGGGGTTTATGCTCCTCCACAAATCATTACTACACAATTAATGGGGCTGACCAGGTTAGGGGCTATCCCATTCAGGAGGATAGGGGTTAAACCACCAGTACCTTTGACCCTTCCTTTACCGAGCCTGGAAACGCCCTGTGCGCCAAAAAAAAACAAAGTGGTGTGGGCCTCCTTTTGGCTGGCACGACCCGTGAAACTTGTGGCGTGTTAACTGACGCATCGAGAAAACTGGCTGGGCGAGGTACTGGTGGTTTAACACAGATGTTCCCCAATGGAGGAGCCATTGGGGAATTACTTGCCGTCCTCTTCGGCCCCCTGAAGAGTGTAGTTGGAGGAGAAATCAGGGAACTACAAGTTTCAGATGTTGTAGAACCCGTTGTATCACAAGAAGTTCTACTATGGATCAGAACCCTAACTTACCATAAAATACATTGGGGAACCTAACGTACATAAAATGCGTAACATTCAGCAACCAGGCAGCAAGTACTGGTAAATTGGTAATCCTTTTTTTTTTTCTTTTTTTTTTTTAAAGACTGAAAACAGGTCCACTTGTGCCTGGCTCCATATCCAGACAGGGGAGCATCAGTCCATTTCCTTTCCCTCTGGCGTGTCAGAGTATACATAACAACCCACTCATGATGCCTCCCCACGTTACGGTCCTCGGAGCCCTGACAACATTGATTACTTCGCACGAAAGAATCAACTGAGAGTGAGCCTATAAAAACAGCTCCCCTCTCCTGGCAGCTCTAACCCCCCAAAACATACATGAAACACAACCAGAGAAATCCCTCTCAATCCACTACCGTGGACTGCCTGAAAAAAGTGTAATAAGTTCATAACTAGGATGACTCCAGTCCTACCTCTACCCTTTCTCCTCAACTTCCTCCTTTGAATAGCTGCAGGAATTGTAGATCAGCTTCTGCAACCCTCTGACCCCATGCTCTCCTCTATCTAGAGTATTTTTGTGTCACTCACTATGCTGAGTGATACACTAAGCATTCCTGGGTCCAGGACCGCAGGCACACCCCCCTACCCAAACATTAGTCTTTTTGCCATGTACTATGTAGCGCATTTTACCATCCCCTTAGTCTTTCTCCTGAAGCTAGGCTAATACTCGTATTCCCTGAGAGGCTTTGTATGGAATCGGTATCGGGAACTTTGCCTGTGCTGGTTCCTCCTCCGTCACCTACCCTCTAGTTGAGCTCAATTGGGTTTCCTTCCAAACTGCTGACTTTTCCTTCACTGGGAGCATCTTTCCCAAATTTGGCCGTGATATCCTGCTGCTCGTCTGGGTACTTCTTGATCTATCTCTTGTCTTTGTGTCAATCCGTATGGTACTGAATCTGTACCATTTGCAATGCCCCTCCCTCGTCTCTTCCACCGGCACCTGTTGCCTCTCCAGTGTTTCCTTGCATTTCTCTCCACACTAACCATAGTGTGAGGGGTCTCAATCTTCTTTGAAGCTTTCATTCCCACTTCCAATCCTCTGGGTTCCGGGAAACATGTGACTACAGTGACCTTGTTGCTTGGTAGCATTGTTTTGTGATAGCTGTCCATACAGTGCAGGTCCTCCCTCAGATTTGCTCCGCTTTGGGCAATGGAGTAAGCTTACAGTCTTAGAAGAAGGTAAGTGAATATTCAACTACTGGTAATCTATTTACTGATTTAATGTGTTTTTCAAAACTTTTTTAATTTTTTTTTCATAATCATAATAATGAAATCTGAAATCGTGTTCATGAGGAGGAAAAGAGCGACCCAGTGCACATAGTACTTCTCACTGCACATAGCAAACAGAAGAAGTCAAAGTTTCTTCAAATTATCTTGCCACATATTCCTGTTCAAAGTATGCCAAGAAAAATGATGTTGTTTGGCAAAGATGCTAAATTTCAATAACGCTGGTAGCAGCCAGCCCACATGGCAGCCAGCATGCCCAATAGCAGCCACTGCACATAGTACCAGCCAGGGCACATAGCAGCGTGTTCTGTGTAGCATCTTAGCTCTACCTGCGCTGCTGATGTAACTGCATAGCAGCCGCCCACCGCTCATAGCACCACCCAGCACACCACCCAGCCCACCACCCAGTGTACCATCCAGCCCACCACCCAGTGTACCATCCAGCCCACCACGTATAGTTCCACACAACCCACCACACATAGTATCACACAGCAAAGTACCGCCCAGCCCACTGCACGTATTGCGAGCATGCCCTGTCAGCATAGTAGCACCCAGCCCACGCGGTGGCACCCAGCTCACCCACTCCATATGTCACTCAGTGTAGCGCCGCCCATTACGTCCAGCCCACATAATGTCGCCCAGTCCACATGGCGCACCCATCCCGCGAAGTACTGCCGACTGAATAAATCTTCCACCCACCTAGTACCGCCCACTGCCCATAGCACTAGTACGCATAGCATCCAGCCGACATAGAAGTAGCCCGTGCACGTAGTACCAGCCGGGGTTCATCGCGGCCTATCTTTACAAAGCATCTACTTCTACATGGCATCTTAACTCTATATAGCACACAGTTCTACATACCAGCCAATTCTTTTTTTTTTTTTTTTTTTTTTTTTAAACAGGTCCTTATGGCCCTGGCAGCCTGGCTCCATTTCCATTCTGGGGAGCATCAGTCCGGTTCCTATTCCACCGGCAAGTCAGAGTAAAATGATACATCATAAGAACCCACACACGCTTCCTTCCGTCTGGCCGAAGGACCCCTGAACAGCATTGATTGCTCCAATATCATGGAGGATTGACTGTCAGCTTGCCCTGTTTCATCCTTTCCTCTCAGGTCTATTTCAAGAACTTGTCGTACAAAACCACGACTGGCTAGAAAGGTCCTAGAAGCTGCCAAAGCTGCTAAGTTTGTCCAAACTGCAATTCCTCCGTATGAGCCCCAAAAGAACTTAATTATTCTGATCCCTATTTACCTTATTTCTATAAAAAACCCTAAACCCTAAACCCTAAACCCTCAGCTATAGTTTTATTATTTTCCAGAGACATAAAGCTCAACTCTTTTCAGAGAATTCCTTGAAGTCCTCTGAAACGCCTTAGTCTGTTAGCCCACGATGCCTGCTCTGGGCCTTAATCGCTTGGTATCTGGAGCACCTGTCTTCTCCCCTCTGTTTCCAAAAAGAGCCGGTCTCTCCCTGGTATACCGGAATCCTCCGGTCCTGGCACCTCACCCACAGCGATCTCTGCTTGATTCCAGGGTTTTGTCACAGCCCCTATGTTCTCCCTTGGAGATTCTGGGTCTTCGTTAGTTCTGACACAACTTGCCTTCGGGATGGACCTCGTTGCTTTTTTTTTTTTTGCTAGATAAAACCCATGCCCTCAAGAAAGAGCTTACAGACTCAATCTGGATAATCCTTGAGCTTCTAGCTTCAACCTTACCCATATAATATACATCTCTTCCCTCCCTATTCCTCTTTATCTCTCGTTACCACAGTACCATTTATGGTCCTTCTGCAACTCATTTCTGCTTTTTACCAGCCAATTTTATTTTATTTTATTTTATTTTTGGACAATTTCCCGATTTATGCGTGTCATCCTTGCGCAGGGGCCATGCTAATCTTCTCTGTATCGTTCCAATTTTAACGGATGTCCCGAAGGACTTTACCAGCCAATTCTGCATAGCAACCGCATACCATTTACGGCAGCGTTCTGCCTTCAGGTTCTGTGGCCCACTGTGCCCTCTTTCTAGTGCATGGGCAGAGCAGCATTAGACAACTGACTTGGAATTATTAATTACATAAGCTGTACGTTTGCCCTGTTTGCACAAATGCTGCAGGCCGGGGACCACAGTTTTTTGCGAACCTTTTTTCATTACTCTAAAGATCTTTGTGTCAAAAAATACTAGCAAACGTGAGCTGTGACTACTGCCCAAACGAACAGAGCGCCATTTGGAACTACATCAGCCTTCATACTTCACCTTTCAACAGTCGAGGGCTAGTCTAATTTAGAGGACATTCAGGAAACCTAGTTCTTTTTTTTGTGGGGAGGGGGTGCAGGGTGTTAAGTTACTGGTGTCTTTCTATTTTGGAGAGTGCCAGGCTGTCAGTCCAAAAGACTTTGATAGGTATTTTGCTTTGCACTTGAACTGCTAAAGAGCCATTTCAGGAGCATTCAATGATTTGCTGGTGGGTGGGCACTGGGTATTTGTTTGTTTGTTATAACGTTGTGTTTGATCTCCTAGGGCCAGGTCCCACTTACCCGGATTCTGTGTTTCCGGCCGTTGGTCCTTGTAATCTTACGGTTCATCACAAAGAATCCAGGCAAGTGGAACTTCGCCACTGCAAAGTTCATTTGTCACAGGTGTGATATTTTGCTTTCATTCAGAAAATGTTTCTCTACACATTCGTTGTCTGGATACATTTATGGTCTGGACACATTTGTTGTTTGGATGCATTTGTTCACTGGGTACGTTCGTTGTTCAGATACATTTGTTATCTGGATACATTCCTAATCTGGATGCATTTGTTCTGTGGGTGCTTTCATTGTCTGGATACATGTGCTGTTGGCTGGAGATGTGGTTGGCTCGTAATTTTTTTGGCCTCTCCAGGGATGCTGTGTTCTTTACTTGGATAGTCCTCTGGGTGAAGAACCTCTCTGAATATGGGCTTTGCTTCCCCCAAGTTGCCCATGTTGTGGTGTTTGTTGATTTGGGTTTTGCTTAGTGTGTATAAGGGTGTTGTAGGGAAGGAAGTTGAAAGAGGGGAGTACAATGTAGAAAAGGGGTCAGGACTCGACTGATGCAGCTCATTCCAGGACATTCCGTGGCAAAGGTAAAAAAAGGGCAGGGAACTACGTCGCAAGAGTCTCAAGGGCTGAAAACTAAGTGAAAAAACGACTGTTGGGCCTGAATTATCCTGCCAAACCTGTCTTTGGCCAGACCATGACCTGCCAAATCTTGGGTCTTGGGTGGCAAGAGACCGATCACTTGTTTTGTGATGGTCTTTCGGCATTTCAACCTGTGTTCCAATGGTGGAGGTTGGCGGCCTCAGTCTTTTTTCTTGGCCACTCTTAGGCCTCTGCCTGCGGTTTAGGATGGTGCCAAAATTGGCGCCCTGGCCGTCTAGGCTGTTTTTGACCGGAGGCTTGTTTTTTCCCCTGCAAGTCTGGGCAGTTACTTCAGGCAACCATGATCCCTGTATATACTCGCGGGTTGTGCTGATGCAGGGGTGGTTCAAGTACGATGGGAAATGACACATTTTGCCCATTCTCTTTTTTCTTTTTTCTTTTTGCCCCGTAAATATGATGGGAACCTCACTGTGCAGTGTTCTGTACACAATATTCAAAATTCACGTTCAGGCTCTTAACTTCTTAAGGTGTGGTGATTTTTTTCCCCTTGCTGCCCTCCTCGCCCCTCCTGATAGCTTGCTGTAGTTGTAATGGTCCAGAACTCTCCTGTGTTAGGATTTTTGCAAACTCCAATCACTTCCAACTGTGAGGATCTGGCTCCTCGGCAGGCGTGAGGGGCCCTGTTTGCAATGTGTGCCCGCCCTAAGTGAAGGTGGGCCTGATAAAATTACGAGAGGCCCATTGTTGTCTATTTCACCTTTGGGGTTCAGACAGTTGCGTCGCGTCAGTTGGTTGAGGGGACCCAGACCACGGCCAGCAGCACTTTGCTTCGGCCTTCTATGCCTTTCTTGGAAGCAGGCCCTGGGCCGCACACAAAGGAGGAGGCACGGCAGGCAGTTTGGGGCTGAAACCGAACGGGCCCCAGGGCAGCAGGGCCTACCGGAAGCTTCTGGGCACAGGCCCAGCCCAGCCAGGCAACAGACCAGGCCAGGCCAAGCATTTGGGCCCTTGCCAAGCATTTGGAAAGATCTCGCTGCCTGGCCAAGCATTTGGGCCCTTGCCAATTGTGCAGCAGCGCTGCTTGAGCCTGCGCTCGCGTGATGTGCGCTGCGCTAGGCGAGGTGTTCTCGCATGTGTCGTGTAAGCCAGGGGGCTGCTGAGGGCAGCGCCATAGCCCAGCTTCCATAGCTGGCTTGGCTTGGGTGTATGGCAAGGTGTAGTGGTGGTCTTCGTGCATGAGGAAGAAGACGTGGGTGCAAGATTTTCGTTCCTTAGTTCTCCTATCTGTTTAAAGCCTACTTGACAGGTTTCCATAGGGGAATCTGAGAGGGAGTTCAGGGAAAGGCATGCTGACAGTCAATCCTCCTATAAGGAGCAATCGATGCTGGTCAGGGTTCCTTCGGCCAGACGGAAGGAAGCATGAGCATGTTCGATGATGTATCAAAATTTTGACTTGCCGGGGGAATAGGAACCGGACTGACACGAAACATAGCGTGGAACAGGTGAGAGCGACTACTCAAGACCCGGCAAGGAGCGTTAGCGCCGTCCGGTAAGCGCTATCCCACTGCGCCAAACTTTCGAACCCGTACGCCCGCGAACTGCCCTCAACCGGCGCGAAACCTCGCACTGCGAGCGTTTGCAGGCGCGCGCCATCACCCCTTCGAACAAGGACACGAAGGGCGGGAACCAGAAGGCGAGCCCACGCTTCTCCTCGCCACGCCTTCGGGCGTGGCCACCCATTCATTCACGGCAAGAGGCAAGAAAGACGGGTAAAGACGTGGAGAGGARGAGAGAAGTGATGATGAGCAAAGAGCAAAGAGGACGAGCGCAGAGTACCTAAGTGGAGATAAGGACARCAGGTTCGAAGAAAGGGAGTAAGAAATCGAGCAAGTCTCCCAGGGCGTGGCCATTCACGACAAGAGACAAGAGAGACAAGAAAGACGGGTAAAGACAAGGAGAGGAGGAGAGAAGTGAGGAGAAGCAATGAGCAGAAAAGGTCGGGCGCGGAATACCTAAGCGGAGGAAAGGACAACGGGATCGAAGAAAAGGAGTAGGAAAGTGAATGATTTTTCCTCTGAGTCCAGTCGCTCCCAGCAGGAACCTACAGAACACGACCATCGCGTGCATCTTCTCCTTTCAGTCTCGTGGGAGGGTGGCGAGAAGGGGAGCGAGGATCGAACTCGCATCTCACCACGCTGCGTCACGCCGCAGGGCGAGGCTCCCCCGAGGGTCAAAAAGGGCAAGAAAAGACAAGGGAAGGAGGAGTAGGCGGGAAGGTACTCTAGGGGAAGAAAAAGGAAAAAAGGGAATGACCTACGTACAGGAAAGGACAAAGAAGGAAGGAGAGAAGGAAGGAGGGAAAGGAGAGGAGGGACCGAACACTACACTTCCAATCAAAGGAAAAGGACATCCTTCACAAACAAGCAAATACCAAGAAGAGGAGGAGAAGAAAACGCAGCACCCACGCCATCATTGCTACCGACAAGGTTGGAACGGCTCATCGCGGAAGTCAAGGTAAGATCGTAAGACCCTGTCTCGATCTCATCAGCCGCAAGGGACAAAGGGAAGCGACAGTGGCAAAACACCGCAAGTACGGGAGAAAAGCCAAGCCTTCAAGAGGAGGACAACGCCAACCATCAGCGAAACCAAGAGACTATTGAAGACAAATGAAGGGAGAAAAGGAGGAGGAAGGAGGGAGAAAAGGAGAAAAGGTGCAAAAGCAGAACCATAAAGAAGAGAAAAATCCAAACCACTAATAAAGCATCCGGAAGGAGAAAACAACGAAGGAGACAATAAAAGAACGAGAGAAGGAACCATCCACAAATCTCAACCCCATAGGGAACACGCACAATCTCACAACACAACTGCGAAGCTGAACGGCACACCAAAAATGACACTACCCTCGCAAAGGAAAGTCAGGAAAGTCACAAATCCCACAAACCGCAATTCAATTCGATAAGATCGAATGAAACCCGTTCAACCAATTTACATGTAGTATTCAATTCATTTAATTATTCATTTAAGTGCTATTCATTTAACGATCAATTTATTTAATTACTCATTTAACTATTATTCATTTAAGAAAGCTTTTTTTTTTTTTTTTTTTTTTTTTTAATCTCAATACCAGGATTTGAATTCATCCGAATTTATTTTTTCACCATTGAGCAACAGACGCAGACAGAGAACATTTTTCACCTTTACGCTCTTCACGATCATAGCTTGGCCTCGTCCACGCGCTATCATTCACACGGCCCTAGGCCCAGGTATTAGTGCGAAGCCTTTCCTTGTTTGATCTCGCACCTTGAATAGCTAAATCCCGCCCCCCCCCTCCCTCCGCCTCATAGCCAACCACTAACTGGACATCAGATTGCCTCAACAGCAGCCTATATTTGCTCCTGACATCAACCCCGCCCCCTCTGGGAGGAGGGAAAGCTCTGCCTATCCCAGCGGAACTCCTGTCTAGACCACAAACAGAACAGTAAAAGGGAAGATCGACCCAGAGGACAAAATGGAAGGGATGGGAATCGAGACTCAAAACTGGTTAGCGGAACAAACCAAAACYGAGCTGGTGAAGACTGTGAAATATGTAGAAGTGGAAAAGAACAGAAGAGAAGAAACAGTGGTCTACGAATACCCGAAAGAGCACATTCAGAAACTGGATGAGTTTCATGAAAAGCACGCAGTGCTTTTCACCTTCTCCAAGAAGAGCCAAGAGCTGAATCGCCCGGCTAAACTAAAGTGGATATGGGACAAACTCAAAAGTTTGGAACCAGTGCAAGGAGATGAACCTAAAATCTCATTCCACCCTCGAACCAGGAATGTGATTATGGTCATCTGCAGGGACCCATCTTACGCGGATTTCCTGAGGAACAAAACCTTCACCTGCAATTCCTCCGTGGTGACAATACATCCATGGAAACCAGACATCCCTTTCCAAATGACGCCTTCCCGATACAGACAAGAGCTCATGAAGAAATTCTTTTGGGTACAATTCGATAACGTTCACGAAGGCCTGCACGAGGGGATCAAACAGCGCCTGCAAATAGAGTACGGCCAATTCAAAGTGATTGACTGGATCATCACAACGCCAGATTTCCTGATCCCTCAGCACAACACCATGACGGTATGCCTGGATCTCAACAATGGTATCCCTCCACGATTGCCAGACTACTGGTACTTTGTGGTGAGGGACAGGACCATCAAAGTCACAGTGTCCTCAAAAGGCAATCCACTGTGCTTCAAATGCAGACAAAGAGGGCACATGGGAACTGACCCCCGCTGTCCGAAAAACATCGAGACGGCCAAACCCAGAGCACTGAAACAGACGAGCCTGGCTGAAGTGGAAAGGGAGCCAGGCTTCTGGTATGTGAGAAACTCTCAATACATTGGTTGGGTGTTCAACGACAACCTGCCAAACCCGGACTGGGTCTGGGTCTTGGAAGGAGAACCAACACCTAGGCCTGACGTCTACCCACCCTCGGACAGCAGATGGCACACATTGAAGATGGAAAGGAAGTTTGCAAAGAACTTCACAAGGGACCCAGTCCTAAACCTGGAGAAAATGGAGGAAGAACGTTGCCTCAAAGATCTGATCATGGACCTCAACGAAACAGGCGAAATGGCAGAAAGAGAATTTCTGGAGAGAGAGAAGAGAAGAACAGAAAGAAAATTGGAGATAGAAACAGACGAAAACCAGCCGCTGACTACGTACTCAAGGAGAGGACCACAAAAAACACAGATGCAGCAGCAAGATGAATCAGGAGGGATGGAATTGGACAACACAGGAACAATCAAAGGAAAAACCAACGCAGACCAACAGGCACCAGGCGAGGATGACAAAGTAACGGTGGGGGAAAAAAGAAAGAATCCTGAAGAACGAAAGGGATCTACAACCAAGAGAGTCCAGTTGGAGGACCCAGAAGAAGACAGGGAACAAAGCAGTGAAGAGGAATGTGAACCATGGGGAGACGCAGCGATGGAGGAAATACAAGGATACATACAAAAGGCCAAAAGAGAGAGGGAAGCCAGATTTGAACTACAAATGGCCTATTTCAGGGAAGAGGAAAAACTCAGACAAAAATCAGGAGCGGGAGATTCCCCTCACATCCTTCCCCTGTCCCCAAATCCGTACGCCTCACTAGAGAAGGAAGAGGAGATGACAGCCCAATATGCAGAACAATACTGCAAAGCCAATAGAGATCAGACTTTGAATGAGCAGGGTCTAAACACGAAGAAAGAGAACAATTGGAGGAAGGACAGGTACAGAATGCCAACACTCCCGGAAACGTACAGCGGGAGGAAAAAGGACGAAGCCCAAAAGAAGGCGCAAAAAAAAGAGGAGAAGAAAAAGAAGGAACAGATTGGGTCCGAAGGAGCAGAAACAGAAAGTGAGGACACCAGCAAAGAGGGAGAGGAGAGGAGGCAGCTGGTCCTGAAGGCAGAAATACTGGAGTCACAGGTGGTAAGGTTCAGCCAGCTCAACGATGAGCTCAGTCTGAAAATTGTAACAGTGGAGGGCCTGAACGACCAGTCCCAGTTTGCTTTCTGGGAAAGAGCAAGGCAAGAGAGCAGAACTCTGCTACCTTCAAGGACAGTAGTCCCGATCAAATGGGATGCAGCCACAGAGGATTGGCAAGTGGCAGCTTCCTCCAACTTTGCCTTTCTGAAGCTGGAAAGAGGACAGAGCCGAGACGAGTTGCTCTCAAAAGTCGCACCAACAGCCAAGCCTCTAGCAACAGGGCTGGCGGGAGAACCCCTCAAAGTGCAAGAGCTAGGTGAGAGGGGGGAGGCAAAGGAAGGAGCCAGCCTGGACACGAGGCCAATTATAGTCCTATACGACTCAGACACTACACTGGGAGAGGAACTGCAGTGGAGGCCATGGTGGGAAATAGCACAACTTCCTTTCACGGCGCTGGGATCGGAAACAACAATGATCCTTTCGRCAGCAAGCATGGYTACAGCACTCGCTGCAAAGATCTTCGCCAAAGGAATCAAAGGCCTGAAGAAAGCTYTGAAGGCAATGGGAGAAGACACGGGGGAACCCTCGCTAAGCCAGGAACCTTTGCAGCTTCCTACCCTCTCTTCCTAAACCAACTRCACTGAAGGAAACTGAYWGACCKCTAACCTGTCCAAATGCCTGAGGACAGGGGAGCTCTAGAAAACAGAACAGCCAGAGCTCCAAGGACCAACAGCAAGGACAGGGGAGAGATAGAAATCAGATCATGGAATGTAAGAGGGCTAGCAATAATCCTAACAACACCATCCAAGTGGTACAGCTTCGTAGACATGATTGGATGGATGGATAACCATCCTCCTGACATTCTCTGCATTCAAGAAACACACCTGACCGCATCAGCAGAGCATCAAAACACCGTTCARGAAATATTAAGAAGGTTAAGACACATCAAACAYGCGGAATGGGCAACTAGCCCCAGCGCTGGTTCAGCAGGAGTATTAACACTAGTACACGAAAAGTCGAATGCCGCACAATTTCTACAAGTAGAGGGCACCTCAAAGGATGAACAAGAAGGTAGGTGGACAAGAATAGATTTCTCATACAGAGAAGAAGATTTAACCTTAATCAACACTTATGCTCCAAACTCAAACTCGCAAAGAAGAACCTTCCTAGAACTAATAAAGCAAGAATGTCCCAACGAAAGGCATCTAATCCTAGCAGGGGACTGGAATGCCACCCTAGAACCAACCATGGACAGAATCTCCCACGCCAGAGAAACCACAGATGAATCTGAGGCCCAGGTAATGCTAGAATTCCTAACAGAAAAAAACTTAAAGGATCCGTACAGAATGCTAAATCCTACGACAAAGGACTTCACCTGCATCCAGAAATCAGACAGAACCTCCTTCTCAAGAATAGACTACTTCCTAATATCAGATTCACTTGAGGGGGCAGTAAAGAGCACAAAATTTTTTAAGCTCCCCTACTACGGGGGTTTTGACCACAACCAAATAGGGATGCATCTAACATTCTCAATGAGCAACATGCCAGGTAAGAGCTTTTTCAAACTCAACAACTCGCTAATCAAGCTAGAACATTTCAAGCAAGGGGTTAAGCAGGTATGGGAAACCCATAGACTAAAGAACACCAATATARGGATTCTAAAYAGTMTGCCAAAAGCAATTMTAGAAGTCAGCAAATGGCTAAGCAAGGCATCAAGACTTGAGGCCAAAAAGAGAAAAGCAAGACRAGAAATGTTAGAAGCAGTAGTAGAGACAGCAAAGTTCAACCTAATAGACAACCCCGRCTCACCTATGTACGAGGACTTGCTAGAGCAGGCAAGGGAAGAACTCAAAAAATGGGCARACTGGAACAGGCAGGGATTAGCCATAAGGGMAAGAGTGAAAGATTGGGAAAGCAATGAAACCATGTCTAAATTCTTCTTCCAACGAATCAAATCAAATTGTAGGAACAGCCGAATCCTTGGGCTCAAAAACAAACAAGGCAAAGTGGTATCCACACAGGAAGGCATCCTTAAAGTAGCCACAGACTTTTACCGCACCCTATACACATCAAGGGCAGCAGAGCAGAACCAGACGGAGGTACGCCAGGCAAGGGAAATGTTCCTAAAACACTTGGAAGTCAGCATAAAACCCGAAGCTGCTAAGTATCTAGACAAAGACATCACGAAACATGAGCTTTACAAAGCATTGAGAAGTATGCAACCCAACAAGGTCCCAGGTAAAGACGGGCTGACCAAGGAATTTTGGTTAGAAAACTGGCACGTGTTAGGGGAAGACCTCTTCAAGTTCTACCAGGAAGCCTTCCAAAGAGGATCGTTAGGGGAAGAACTGAGCACCGGGATAGTCACCCTCCTATATAAGAAAGGGGAAAGAGAAGATATCAGAAACTACACACCTATTACTCTTCTCCCAGTAGCCTACAAAATACTAGTGAAAACCCTATCTAACCGCATAAAGAACGTCACAGACAAGTGTTTCCACATAGACCAAACTGGCTTTATTCCGGGCAGATATATACTAGACAATGTAATATGCCTAAATGAGGCAACCAAGCTAATAAGGGACAAAAGAATGCAGGCAGCCATATTATTTTTTGACTTTGAAAAGGCCTATGACCAAGTAAACTGGGACTTCCTACAACTCAGCATGGAATGGATGGGAACAGGCCCAAACTTTAGAAGATGGGTAAAAGTTTTATACGAAGATGCAAGAGGGCTAGTTCAAGTAAATGGCCATTTGTCTGACACCTACAAAATGACAAGATCGGTGAGGCAAGGTGACCCACTAGCAGCTCCAATCTTCTTGTTCGTAATGGAAGCAATAGCTGCTTTCCTACGCAAGGACCCGACGATTGATAGGCTAGTCCTCGATGGCACAGACAGAGCTATTTCATTCCCTACAGTCATGCTCTTCACGGACGACCTTACGGTCTTAATCAAAGCTACAGACTCATCCTTCCAGTCCTTGACAAGAGCGATGCAAGCATTCCAGCTCGCCTCAGAAATGAAAATTAATTGGGGAAAAACAGTGGGATGGTGGCTGTCCGAACAACCTCCCCCCCCAGAGTCAACCCACACACAAGGCTTACAATGGATCAGCCCWYTAGAAMCAATGAGATTCCTAGGAATCTCAGTCTCAGCGGAGGGAACCAGCGACAACATAGGTCCGAAYATACTGGCTAAAATCATAAACAAGMTTTCGGGTTGGCAGAAGGTCTACAMCTCGCTCATAGGAAGAGCTCTAGTGCTAAACACATCCATCTTCTCCATGGCATGGTACACCGCTTCGATATGGGACCCTCCCCAACACTTCATCTCAYCACTGAAGAGGAAAGCGGGAGCCTATCTYTGGACAGGGGATCCAGCCAAAGACAGCTACATCTCGAAGGTAGCTTGGAAGTACATAACCAGACCAGCRAAAAARGGGGGGCTAGGCTTGATAAATSCAGTAAACGAGTACAAAGCTCTGCAAACCAAATGGATRATYAGGCTAATCCTACACAAGGAATTAYYGTGGCACGACATGGCGTTGTATCAGATTCGTAATCTAATACCCTTCAAAACGGACCCACACAYAGAAGGCTATCATTGGTTAATGAACACRGCATGGACACCAAGATCAGAAGGTAAAAGAGAAAACAGAAACCAACAAACCACTAAAGAHCCCCCAAGCAATCAYTGGAAAACCCTGATAAACCACTGGAGAGAAGCATTCCCCAMAAAAGTGAGAAAACCAAAAACCAAAGAAGAGGTCTTAAGACARCCACTATTTGGCAACCCCCTACTACTGGATGGGAGAGACAAACCATGGACCTTAACAAGTAAGGGGAGAAGGTGGAGGAAATGGTTTGAAAACGGGATATGGAAAATAGAACACATTTGGAATGAAGAGGGGAAACGATGGAAATCGACCTCAGAAATGAGACAACACTTAAAGGGCTGCCACAACCTG